AAGCGTTCTATTTGGGAAAGACCCATTAACCTGAAACAACTCCCATCAACCCGAATTTCGAAGCTTGTAAAAAAAGTCTCCTGGCAGAATTGGTAAAGGAGGCAAAGAAATTTTAACCCACGGTTCGTTATTTTTCCTCCAAAGAGGACCTCACAATTGTGAAGTGCCGTGTATCATTGTGAATGAATTCTTGAAGATCACTTAAAAGTAACAGTAAAGAGTTATACTTGTAGCAGTGGCGAATCTAAATTTAGAGCACCTAAACGAAAGGAGGTAACATTTCCAACGACAGTGTCTTATAGAGTTGGAAGCACTTAGGCAGGAAAAGAAAGGGCTCTGGTGACCATGTTCGTGTTGAAGATGTTTGTGAAGAGTGTGAATAAAATTGCCTCACGACGTGTGAGACAGAAAATAGCAACATTTCTTAATTAAGATTATTTATATAGTGTGTGATTTATACATATATATATATATATGCAACCAAATTAATATATTAAATATTATAGACATTTGACTCTTTTATCTACAGCCCTAAGAGTTTGTATATTCCACTGCGATAATTCAGGGGGAATGAAATCTCATTGTAAAATACGGCTCACATCGTATGTGCCAGCTCTTTGTAATTAGGCATATGTGGAATACGTCACAGATGTGTGCTTTTAAAGGAGGCAGGGCCTGCTGGACTCAGAAGGGTAGAGTCTGGCTCTGGATCTGGACTTACTACAGCGTGTCCTCTGAGCAAGTCGCCTCTCTCTGAAGTGGCTCGGTTTCATCACCTGTGAAATGGAAACAGTCGTGCTTCTTCCATCACTTTTTATCATCTTAATATTAATTTATAGACTTCATTATTGACTGCTCTATACTAACAGAAGCAGGGTCTGGATTATCGCAGATAATTTAAAACCATTTTACATTTTACTTACTACTATATTTTGGTACTTACCTATTATATCTGATCTGTAATTTTACTTTAAACAAAATAATGGTCCTGGGCCATAAACACTGGCCTCAGTGGCTGAGGAGTCGCTCAGGTTTTCTTTACTAGTTTTAGTTCTCCCCATGGGGCCTACTCTACAGCGTCAGCAGAAGTATATGAAAGGGAGACGTAGCCAAGATCAAATCCACGTCCCATCCCTTTTTTGCTGTCTGATCTTCAGCGAGTTTCTTAATCTCACTTAGCCATACCTGCCCTCTTTCTAAAATGCGGAGGACAATAAAATAGAAGTGGGGGTGATAATCCCCCTTCTTTGCATTACGGAGAGGATTCAATGAGTTCATGCACGTAAAACCCAGCAACAGATGTTGGCCATTATTTTCTTATTGTTATTATTATTATTGTTACTTTAAAATCTAGGTCGGTGATTATATTTGTTTCTTAGAGCTGCCATAAGGAAGTACCACACATGTATTGTCTCACAGTTTTGGAGGCTAGAAGTCCGAAATCAAGTTGTCAGCGGGGCCCATGTCCCTTCTGAAATATGCAGGGGAGGCCTCTCTTGTTTCTCCCTGGCCGTGGTGTTTGCCAGCAGTCTGTGGCGTTCCTTGGCGTGTAAATGCAGCTCTCCAGCCCCAGTCTGTCTCCTCCTTGAGTCTTCACATGTTCTTGGTGTGCGTGTCTGTCTCTGTCTAAATTTCCCCTTTCTATAAGGACTCAGTCATACTGTCTAGCTCCCCCCGCCTCACCCAGTGACCTCACTTGAACTTGATTACCTTGGCAAAGATCCTTTTTCCAAAGGAAGTCACATTCTGGGGTACTGGGATTCAGGCTTCGATATATCTTTTTTTTGTGAGTGGTGGTGGAAGCACACGCTTTGACGCCTAACAGTAATGGAAGTCCTTTCTTTTCTAAATTCTCCCAAGAAAGAAA